ATTATTAAAGTGTTTTGAAATTCTGACCAGGAAGATTTCGACTGATACCTACGTTACCATTAGAGAGGCTATACCTTTATTAAACTGTTTAACTGAAGCTCTGACAAAAATTTCAGCTCAAGACGCTATTGTAGGGGAGCTAAAAAGTGAACTGCAAAAGAACTTGAATAAGAGATTTGGCAAACTTGAATTTAATTCAGTTCTGGCGTTGGCTACTGTATTGGATTCGAGATTCAAATTTCTGAATTTTAAAGATGCACTGGCTAAAAACAAAACAGTTTTGTATATAAAGAGTTTGATAAAGGATGCAAATAATGGCGTTAGTACGTCGGAATCTTCGGATGAGTGTGCAACAAAAAACCCGCTTGACATTTGGAGCCATCACAAACAGTAGGCCCACCAAAATATGAAAATGTATATGCAAATGTATCTTGGCTGTTGCTTCTATCAATCAGAATCAAACAGAAATGTGGGATGATATGAAAAATGTATTTCCTGAACTCCCTGCATAGGGTTGTGCGGTTTGGGACCCGCCACGTAAAAAAACACCCCGAATGAAAACGCAACAACAGCCTCGAATGAGGGACCCCATTTTTGATGACGATGGCAAACGAAATAAGGACTACGAATGGGGGGCATGCACCTGGAATGTACGGTCGCTTATTTGGGAAGGTGCCGCTGCCCAGCTGGTTGATGCCCTCGTAAAAATAAAGGCTGATATCACCGCCGTCCAAGAAATGCGACGGATATAAAGGAGCGCAAGTTTGGTGTGAGACTCGTTGCAGACAGAAAAAGAAAGAGTCCGAAATGCGTGAGTACGAAGAGCTTTATAAGCTGGCCGACAGGGGTAATGCTCGAAAATTCTATGAAAAAATGCGGCGGCTTACAGAAGGTTTCAAGATCGGAGCATACTCTTGTAGATGCCCAGAGCATACTTAAATTATGGAGGGAACACTCCTCCAGCCTGCTGAATGCACGACGCCAGGAGAAGGCGAACCCGATTCCCCAATCGATGACGATGGAGCAGACGTTCCATTGCCCGACCAGGAAGAAGTTCGAATAGCAATTACCCGCCTGAAGAACAACAAAGCGGCGGGGCCGATGGATTGCCGGCCGAGCTATTCAAACACGGCGGCGAAGAACTGATGGGGAGCATGCATCAGCTTCTTTGTAAAATATGGTCGGACGAAAGCATGCCCAACGATTTGAATGTAAGTGTGCTATTCCCAATCCTCAAGAAAGGAGACCCACAATCTGCGCCAACTACCATGGGATAAGCCTCCTCAACATTGCATATAAGGTTCTATCGAGCGTATTGTGTGAAAGATTAAAGCCCACCGTCAACAAACTGATTGGACCTTATCAGTGTGGCTTCACTGGAAAAGACCCTTGAAAGGAGAATCGACACTCACCACCTCTTCGTCGATTTCAAAGCTGCTTTCGACAGCACGAAAAGGAGCTGCCTTTATGCCGCGATGTCTGAATTTGGTATACCTGCAAAACTTATACGGCTGTGTAATCTGACGTTGAGCAGCACCAAAAGCTCCGTCAGAATCGGGAAGGACCTCTCCGAGCCGTTCGATACCAAACGAGGTTTCAGACAAGGCGATTCCTCATCGTGCTACTTTTTCAACCTGGTTCTGGAGAAAATAGTTCGAGCTGCAGAACTAAATAGAGAAGGTACCATCTTCTATAAGAGTGTACAGCTGCTGGCGTATGCCGATGATATTGATATCATTGGCCTCAACACCCGCGCCGTTAGTTCTGCTTTCTCCAGACTAGACAAGGAAGCAAAACAACTTGGTCTGGCAGTGAACGAATTCAAGACGAAATATCTCCTGTCATCAAACAAAGAGTCGTCGCACTCGCGACTAGGTACTCACGTCACGGTTGACAGTCATAACTTGTAGTTAATTTTAATTTTAATTTAATTTTAATTGTAGATAATTTCGTCTATCTTGGATCCAGCGTAAACACCACCAACAATATCTCCCTGGAAATCCAACGCAGGATAACTCTTGCCAACAGGTGCTACTTCGGACTGAGTATAATTCCCGTCCTGCTATATGATGCAGAGGCTCGGACGATGTCAACAACGGATGAGTCGACGTTGCGAGTTTTCGAGAGAAAAGTTCTGCGAAAGATTTATGGTCCTTTGCGCATTGGCCACGGCAAATATCGCATTCGATGGAACGATGAGCTGTACGAGATATACGACGACATTGACATAGTTCAGCAAATTAAAAGACAGCGGCTACGCTGGCTAGGTCATGTTGTCCGAATGGATGAAAACACTCCAGCTCTGAAAGTATTCAACGCAGTACCCGTCGGGGGAAGCAGAGGAAGAGGAAGACCTCCACTCCATTGGAAGGACCAAGTGGAGAAGGTCCTGGCTTCACTTGGAATATCTAATTGGCGCCACGTAGCGAAAAGAAGAAACAACTGGCGCGCGGTTGTTAACTGGGCTATAATCGCGTAAGCGGTGACTACGCCAATCAAGAAGAAGATTTCCTGAATTGTATAAACAAGCTTCCAAATATTTATCCATTGTGGCCTCTAAAGCTGGAGCAACGATCACACAGCAAAGAAATCGCTTGACGGGCAAAAGACTTTTCAAATTGTTATTTTTAAATTCTGTTTTAAATAAATGATTTGTTGTTTGTTCAAAAACTATTTATATCTTTTATTTATTGAGAAAAGGTTTTAATAGGTAGCTAAAATATAAGTCAATTAAACGCGTACTGCTGTATTTCACTTATTTATGGTTCTGAAATAAGATTTTTATGCTATCTAATAAAACACGTTAAAAAAGTTCAAAAATTCATCGATGTTTCGATACATCGATGTTTCAATGGCAGATGTTTTTGATTTCGATGTTGTTTGAAGAAACTGAAGTCAATTTCGTAAAGAAAACGGTACCTAGGACTGAAAACAGCAAGTGAGCTGAAGATTAACGGTAGTCAAAAGTATTTACACAAAACTTAAACTACAGTTGCTTGTATTTTTTATTGATGGATTTGGAAAGCTGACTGTATTGGTATGGGGTTGTATTTGTAGCAAAGGTATGGGTGAAATAAGAATTATAAAACATACTATGACAAGGAAATATATTTAGACATTTTACGTAACAATTTAGAAAGGAGTGTGCAAAAATTTGGGCTAGCAGATCCAAAATGCCCCAATAAATTGAATTAAAAATTATATCAAGATAATGATCCCAACCACTAGTCTTATATGCAGGATTTGATTGCTATATAATTTCTCAAAAGTGTTGGATACTCCTGCGCAAAGCTCAGACATCAATCCTATAGAAAATTTAGGAGCTTATTTGAAAAAAAAAAGTGGCAAACAGGTGCTCTACAAACAAAGGCACCTTAATACAGTGCATCGCAGGGAAGTGGGAGAAGATTCCATACAAATATGACATAAAAAATTAATTTAAACGATGCCACGGAGGCTTTAATACAGGTAGTCACACCAACATAAAAATGCTAGCGTGTATGTGAAAACTTGAAATTTTGAGACAGTACCGAATAAGACGTTTTCTGTTTTTGATTTAGTCTTCTAATAAACTTTAAAAATATTGTTTTCTCTTCAGAAATAATAAACAATAAAACAAAAATGATTGTTATAAAAAAATCCTAAATAAATATGTTTTAAAATTCAGTGTGAACTTTATCTTTGTCAAATGTTGTCATATGGAAAGATTTGTGAGACATACTGTATGATGTATATTTGTGGATATAATTTAAAATTTAATGCTCTTCACAAAGTATCCACAATTTTTCGTAAATCTAACCGTTTAAAATATATTAACGGATATTAAATTTAAAGAATTTTCTTACGAATTTTAAAACTAAAAAAATTTATAAGTCGTTTTGTAGAAGGTATTTTTTTATTTTTTCATTCGGTGATTTTTGGCGATGAAAATCTCGCAAACGCTTTACTAAATCCAAATTTTATATATATTTTTTGTCAGCGAATTTCAAATTTTATAAAAATGATCAGGATGACGAGAAAAGATGAAATTCGGATTACTGTCTGCCTGTCCGTCCGTGCAAGCTGTAACTTTAGTTCAAATTGAGATATCTTGATAAAATTGGTATGGTACTTTGTATGCGGGTTCCTTAGTACAAAACAAACTACGATCTCGTAGATAGGCGTACTCGGACCACTGCCACGCCCGCAAAACGCCATTAACCGAAAACTTATAAAGTGGCGTAACTAAGCTGTATCACTTTGTGAAGCACAACAATGGTTCGCTCGCTTCCGTTTGTTTATTTATTTATTTATTATTTGAAATATAAAAACAACAAGGTGAAGTTTGATCAGAAATACGAAAAAACTTTTACGACTACCCAATATTATCTGATTTTACCGAGTGTATGAGCGGTTTTAAAAAAAGTTTAGCTCACAGGTGTCTCTTCGAAATTGTATTAAATTACATTATTGTATCACTATTTAGTGTTTAGTTATAACACTTCATATATTTTCGTTTAACTACACTTTTGGAAAGTGCCGTCTCTGCCATCTTAATCTTAATTTGACTTCATTTTTACTCAAGTTATCATGGATGAACGGACGAGCCGACGAACAATTAGAGTCACTCCGAATTTAGCTCGTCTCGTCACCATAAACAATTATATGAAAATAACACCATATCTATATCGATTGCTTTACTCTTTCTGTCGATAGTATAAAAATTATGCACAAGCCTTCGGGATGCATTATTCGAAGAAACAGAATGGATAACAAGCAAATTTGTATTAATTTATGTACATAAGTATATTAAAAGTCCTAGACTAACTTAGTTTCATTAATAAGTAAATTAACCCAAGTGAAATAGATATGATATAATTAGCGGTAAAAAGTTTAAGCCAAAGTCTGGTCTAATGGAAATCAATATATCGTGAATTTTGGAGTACACATGTCATTTTTAAATCAATGTATCAGAATAAAAATTAGAAAATTAATTTCATTTATTTAAAATTTGATTTCAGGAAAAGTGTTGCATGGTATAATCATTGTAGAAAAAGAACGCAAAAAAGTACGCATATTCTATCGCAACTTCAATAACGTTATAGTTGTTAAAAATTATAAATATTTTAATGAAGTGGCTGAGGAGAAATCGGAAACGTACTTTACATCCAATGGAAAAATTGTTTTGCATTTTTGGCCAAAATATAATTATTTATTACATGCCTTACGCTCCCCTCCGAAGCCGGTTGAACGAATTTTACCGAAACTGGAATTGATGTGGAAAGCTGATAACTTGCTTTTAATGCATTATCAAAAAAAAAAGAACCTCACATTAGAAAATGCCCAGTGCTATTTACACAACCACCCCGAAATCGTGGATTTATTTTACGATTACATACATAGCTTGCTCCAAAAGAAACCAGAAGTTGTGTTCTCATTTACAATAAAATTTTTCCAAAATATGAAGAATACTTATTAAGATTTATCTTCGGGATAGTGCATATCTTGGACCGCAGTTTAAATTAAAATTTTTTCGGAATAACAATTAATTTTTGCTATTGCTTGTATATTTTTCCTAACTTTGGATCTTTAAATTTACGTGACTTGTATAATGAATTTTATTAGCAATAAATTTTAAACTAAAAATATAAGGAATCCTATATTTTTATACTCTCGCAACAAAGTTGCTAAAGAGAGTATTATAGTTTTGTTCACATAACGGTTGTTTGTAAGTCCTAAGACTAAAAGAGTCAGATATAGGGTTATATATACCAAAGTGATCAGGGTGACGAGTAGAGTTGAAATCCGGATGTCCGTCCGTCCGTGCAAGC